AGCACTGGGGAAGTCCTTAGATAGCTGGGGAGACTTTCCAGGTAGAAGGAAGCACAAGGCCAAAGCCCCTTAGCCAGATCCACATTGCCATTTCTGAGGAACTGAGCTAGGTCAGCAGGTGAGAGCAGCAAATAGTGGAGAGTGGACGGAGCTGGAACAGACAACAACAGAAACAAAATCGCATGCAGAGGCCCAAGAAGGCCATGATAAAGCCCTCAGCCTCAATCCTGAGAAGGAATCCATGGAAAGATTTTGAGAAGACCAAAGAGCTCCGGCTGTTATGTTGATCAGAGATACAGGGGGTTGAACACTAGATGGGAAAATAGCTAGGCAATGGTCCAGGCACCAAATCATAGATGTCAGGTGAGGGTGACAGCAGTGGAGGTAGTAAGAAGTGGCCAGAGGCCAGTGTGGTGGCTCAAGCCTATAATCTTTGCTATTTAGGAAGCAGAGATCCAGAGAATCTAGAAGGTGAAAAGTTCTCGAGATCCCCATGCCAACCAATGGCTAGTGCAGTGGCAAATGTCTGTCACCGCAGCTACATAGGGAACACAAATAGGAAGATTGCAGCTCAGGCATAAACTGAGACTCTATCTCAAAAATAACCACCACCAACAGGGCTGGTGGAGTAGATCAAGTGGTAGAATTCCTGCCTGGCAAGCACAAGGCCCTGAGTTCAAACTCCAGTATTGCCAAAAAAGAAAAAAAGAACAAAAAGGAAAATAAATGGTTAAACCTAGACAATGTTGACAAGCTGTGTGGAGAATTTATAAGTGGGACATGGAAGACTATTCCCAAATTCCTGGCCACATACTAAACTGGGACTGATGAATTCACATTGGGGTTTGATTATTTGTGTAGACGATACAAATCTCAGCCCAAAATACATAGATACTAAAGATATCTAGCATTATTTTCTTCAAATTCACCTAATTCTGAGCCTCCTCCATAGCAATGTTTAGGCTTCCATGAAACACGGGGTTTCTGCTCAAGTTTTTTTGTAAACCCCAAACCCCTCAAAATGAGTAAGAAATAAATAAATAAAAACAAAAGAAAAAGAGAGAAGGGGAGTTTGTGTTTTAGATTGTTTTGAAACAGCTTTCTATCTGGCAAAAAACTCTAAGGCCAAAAATCAGTCTCTGACCACCTAACTTAAATATGTGTGTAACTGTGAAGACAGGTGTGGGAGAGCACTGCAAGGGAAGACACACATGGACATCATAAAAAACCATGCTTGCCCATCAGTGAACTCCTCTCCCCAAGACTACACTTTGAGCAGTAGAGGTTGTTCTTTCACCATTAGCTCCCACCTCTACCTCAGGGAGATTACAGTCAAATGACTACAAGAGAACCTGTTTTTTGTGCCTGCAATCCTAGCTACTTGGGGAGCTGAGATCGGGAGGAAGCCAAACCAGGCAAATAGTTCGAAACTCCCTCTCCTCCAAAATAACAAAGCAAAATGGACTGGAGGTGTGATTCAAGCAGTAGAATGCCTACTTTGGAAGTGCAAAGCCCTGAGTTCAAACATCAATTCGATCAGAAAAGAAAAAAAAATTAGCTTGCTGTGGTCACACACAGCTGTAATCTCAGGTCTCAGAGGGCTGAGACATGAGAATCAGGAGTTCAAGGCCAGCCTAAACTACATAGTGAGACTCTGTCTCAAAAAAAAAAAATGCCTATATTGATTAGGGTTGGAGGTGTGGTTCAAGTGGTTAGAGCCCCTACCTACCAAGCACAAGGCCCTGAGTTTAAACCCAGTACCATAAATAGATAAATACATAAAGTAAAAGAAAGTAAGGGGCTCAACCTTTCTGAGACCCCTCCTGTCCATATGGGGGCTTTTCTTCTCTTTCCCTCTCTACTAAATAAATCTCTGCTTTTTCACTCAAAAAAAAAAAAAAAAGACATAGGCTGGGCACTGGTGGCTCACACCTGTAATCCTAGCTACTCAGGAGACAGAGATCAGGAAGATTGCAGTTCAAAGCCAGCCTGGACAAATAGATCATGAGACTCTATCTTGAGAAACCGACCACAGAAATGGGCTGGTGGAGTGGCTCCAGGTGTAGGCCCTGAGTTCAAGCCCAGTACTGCAAAAAAAAAAAAAAAGGCGTACACCTACAACACTATCATCCCAACCAAGGGAAGCATATCTCTCACCTCCAGAAATTTCCTTGTATTTGTCTTATAGTCTGGTGTGTGTGTTAAGAACAGTTAACTTGAAAGCTACCATTTAAATTGAGACAGGATCTCTCCATGTAGCCTGGGTCTTGCAATCCTCCTGCCTCCACCTCCCAAGTGCTAGGATTACAGGTGTGTACCATGACAACCAGCTTCTTAACATATTTTAAACTATACGATACTGTATTTTTAACTAGACAAGTACATGATGCACGCTATCTCTAGAACCTTTTCATCTCACACCACTGAAATTTTATGACCACTGAGCAACAGCCCCACCCCTTGTAACCCTTCCCCTCAGCCCCTGGCAGCCGCCATTCATTCTATTCTCCACTTGTATGAGTCTAACGTTTTAGGTAGTCCATAGAGGTGGGTAACCTCCACTCTCCCTTTACCTACATGGTAGGTAAAGTGGCTCTTACCTAATCTGTCTCAGAATCACCCAGAACACTGCAACCCCTCTCTCCAGCATATATAGGGGCTTTGAACCTTTGAATAATAAATCACAATATCCCTAGTGAGATCAGAATGTACGCATGTATCTCTAGGCAGCTGTATTGTGCAACTCTGATTATGAACCACTGAATTCAAACCAATAAGCTCTGACATTTAACTGCTCAGGCACAATCCCATTTGGCTTGGGTCCCAGCGAGGAGGTCAAAAGGCTGATGGGTTGGGGTTGGCGGGATCAGGGCTGTCCCAAGCAAGGCCTGATTCATTATGGGGTGAGGCACCTTGTTCAACCAGGCAAAGTCTCTTGAGTCTGGTGGACTGTGAGCTGTGAACACTCACACTCCCAAAGGCAGAGGCTGGATCCCTGTGACCAGCAACTTCAGCTTGAAGTTGACAGAATGAGCTGTGAAGGCCCCAAAGACAAGACAGGGAAGCATTGAGACCGGCACAATGTGGAGTGAGCAAGTGGGGGCCAGGAAGTTTGTTGCTGTAAAATGGCATTGAAATAAAATAGAACCAGAAGCCAGTAGCTCATGCCTGTAATCCTAACTACTCAGGAGGCAGAGATCAGGAGGATCCCAGTTCGAAGCTAACCCCAGGCAAATAATTCATAAGACCTTATCTCAAAAATACCCAACACAAAAAATGGACTGGTGGAGTGACTCAAGTACAGTCCTTGTCTAGCAAGCATGATGAGTTCAAACCCTAGTGCTGTCAGTTGCAGGTATCTCTTTGTTGGGGCCCGGCAGTTGCATCTAGCCTAGACTGGTGTCTCTCCACTCTCACCCTCAACTTTCCACTCTTCAACAGGCAGAGCTGAGAATATTTTTAATTAGAATTATTTAATAAACAGTACTGAAAGACTTGGTTAACTATTTGGGTTTTTTTTTTTAAGTTAGGCTATAGCAACAAACTATACAAATTAACCTAAGCATTTTTTAAAATTAGACTATTAAAAAAGAAAAGAATATTGGTGAATATTTAGTTTGGGATGGAAAAAGATCAAGCTTCAAAAGAAAAAACTACAAAGGAATTTTTGAGATTCCACAATGAAACTATTTTGAGTTCACGGTCATCAAAAACTATTGTAAGCACAAGGAAAACAGCAAGCTAAGAAAATATTTGCAACAAATTTGACCCTCATAATTATCTTGAAATATAAGTGGGAAACCATCTGTCTAGGTTATCCATGCTTCAATATTCACTCAGTGATTACAGACCTGCTCAAGGCCACACAGATGAATCTCAGAGCTGGTGAAAAGGTCATGGATCGGTTGCAGAATTCCACCACTCAGCAGGCACAAGACTTGAATAGATGTATTCATCATCTTTTAGAGTGGCTTTTTTAATTCTCTTGGATAACTGAAAGATTGGGTCATATTTCAAGGCAAACTGTGTCTGTCAAGGTCACTGCTCTGCTGCCTGTTCCCAACCTCTAATGAGTAAACACATCTCAGAAACCAAGTATATGCTCCGTCCCACCTCAGTTTCCAGATCTCCTGGGAGTCATTTCAACACGGATATGCTATGGTTGATGTCTGTTCTCTTGTAAACTATGGTTAGGAAAGTGTAAAGGATACAGACACACTAATTTGGGAGTCAGGTATTTCTGGGGTGTAGCAGCAGGGCCTCAGGCTGAGCATATATGTTCTCATCCAGTCCTCACCCCTGCCTAGTCAATAGGGAAAAAGACCCTGTGGCACAGGCATGAAAAATGCAGGCTCTCAACTTTCGGCAACCAGTAAGTGGTGGAGGAGTCAGAGAAGTCTTCTCAAGTTTTTTCCCAGTCAGAAAAGGGATAGAAGGGGCTGGGGAAGAACGAGAAGTGAAAGTAACCTAGAATGAACTAGCTTTCCTGTAATGTTGCCTGGGGCCTATTATGTGACACAATGCTTGTATAAGATTTGCCACTGTTTGAAGGGATGGGGGAAGGGTATCAAACAAAGAGAATAAAAATTGACAGGTCATTCTGTATGTCATCATAATGGTTGACGTATAGCATTGTGCATTTGTCAAACCCAGGGGACTACTACACAACGAGAAGCATGAAACCTGCTGTAAGCCATGGTCTCTGCTTCCTAACAAATGAGCCACCAGTGTGAGATGTTAATAAGAGGGGATACTACAAGGCCAGAGGGGGTACAAAAAAAAAAAAAGAGGCACTTTATGACTCTTCTGTTAACCTACACCCACTCTAAAAAAACAAAACAAAAAAAAAATGAAGTCTAAGCTGGGCATGGTGGTGCACACTTGAAATCCCAGCATTTGGGAGGCTGAGGCAGGAGGATAGAGATTTCAAAGTCAGCCTTGGCTTCATGACAAGACTGTCTTGAAAAAAAAAAAAAAGGTCTATTAATTTAAAATGAATTGACACACTCCCAAATGTAGGCACTAGACAATCTGGGTTTGAATGTCCTGTTAAAAAGGAGATAACGAAGTACTAGGTAAGGAGCTCAGTGGTGCGCTGGCCAAAGTGTCAGTTAAAGACTCTTGGACCCCCTCCACCCATCCCCAGAAGGATTTGACACGCACTTCATCAGTGTATTTCAACCAGGTATTTTATTGGTCTGGCAAATGCAAAATATACAAATTTCTTGAAGGCATCCCCTGTTTGAAAGCTAGCACAGCTTCATCCCAGATCATTAATTCAGACAAATATACAGAACACAGAGAAGTCAAAAATCACACATAAAAGGCCCCCAAATCAATGAACAATTAAACCCAATCTAGACTGCTTTCTATTTTTTAGGCTCCCTTATACATATTAAATAAATAAATAGCACATCTGCTATCAAAATAATAAAAAAATAAATTTCAAGTATTACAAATGAAAATATCATTGGTGTGGTTCAAACAGTTTTTCTTCTCCCCCAAAGAGAAGAGCTTTTTTGCCCATGGTCAATGGAGAAGGGGAGAATCACCCAAAAACAAATATGCAAAGTTAAAAACATTGGTCCCTGTTTTGTTTTGTGGGGATGAGAAGGAAACCAGTAGAAGCAAAAGTTCCATGACTGCAGCTCAGAACCCCCTCCCCCAATGCCTCCTCAAAATCAGGTCACTGCTTTTCCCCAGACCTTACTGATGTGCTCTCTACCCTTACCAAACTGAAGCCTTGTGCTAGGCAAAGAATTCTTTACTCATGCATTGATTTTAGGTCATCACACCCTCATCCAGCCCCTGCCTGTCTCAGACTTGAGAGTTTACGTTCAAAGACTTGGCTCTGAAAACTAGAGAGGAAGAGGTCAGAAAGTGGCCCCTAAGAAAACAACCTCAAAGGCAAAACCACAGATCTCATAATAGGACCAGCCTGCACACTCCCCTGCACACAGTCTGCCAAGACCCAGGGTCCTGGGATAGAGGTCTATGGCTTCCATGTCAGCAACGTATAGACAGCCCTCTCTCTGGAGGGGTGGGGTGGAAGGGGAGAATTGGAATGGTTGGGTGTAAAACACAAACTTCAATGTAGGGTTATCCTTATAGCCCATTTAATCTCAATTAGAGAAAAGTACATTCTTTAAACACTCCCTCAACCAAACAAAAATAGCTCAGCTCTCCACTCCCAGCTTTAGGTGTGTCCCCCTCCACCCTCGCCCCAGAACCTGTCCCCTGAGTTAGACAGGACAGGATCTCAGACCTCACAAGCAAAAGGCAGGAAGAAAAGTGACCTTTGGCTCCAGCTGTGAGATATCCTTAAAAGGGCCCTTTGGACAATCTGTACTGCTGAGTTCAAATGGTTTCTTCTGGCTGAAGACACCCCTTCCTGCCCCAGGATTTGAGACGACAAAGGAGGAGAAACTGACATGCAGTATTTAGAACTTCATGTCCTAAAAGCCTTTCTTTCCACCATTGCAAAAATGTCATGGACACCATGAAAGCAAAGCCAGGACAATATTCAACTCTTCGAATTCCCCCAAGGTACCCAGCAGAGTGTCGGGCACACAGCAGACACTTGACAAAAACCTGGGGATGACCTCTCAGAGGAAGCAGCCTGGAAGGAACCTAGCTTGGGCCATCACCCAACATGGGGGGGATGTGTGGTGTTCTCTGTGTCACCTCACAGAGCTGATCTTCCAACGATTCCAAGGTTCTCAGCTTCCCATCTCATGGGCTTGCCCAACTCCTCACAGTCCGTGGCTCCTGACCCCAAAGGGCCAAACGTCCCCAGCATCTAAGTTCCTGAAGAAAAGGTGTGACTTTCAGGTCACACTCTGCCACACACAAAAAAAGTGCAAAGCAAACAGCTCCAGGAAAACAATGTGCTCAGATACCTCCAGAGGGACTCCTGCCCTTTTCAGAGGAGGCCTCAGTTATCATATTTCAGTAGATATTTCCTTTCGCCTAGATAGTCAGTCTGTCCTTCAACTCCGGGCTGGGAAGGCGTGTATACATGCAGGGGAGCCAGGGAGTGTCACGGCTCAGTTGATAGGCAGGTCTCAGCTCAGGGACTTCTTAGGGGAAAAGGCCCAACTTGACATGTGCCAAAAATCTGTTCTTCGTGAGGCATTTCCCAAGGCCAAGACACACAAGAGAGCCATGTGAAAGATTTTAGGCATCCCTGGCCTTCAGCAACTACAACCTAGCCCTCCTTTAATTTCAGGATTCTTTGCTGGTCTTGTCGCCACAGCTACAACCATGCCAAGCTGGGATCATGGAAACAAAACAGTGCAGTGGCACCCAGCGTCCCCTCTTGGAGCCTTCTTTCCCTTCCTCCACTACTCAGAATCTTCCCAAGCCTCATGTTGGGGGGAGGTCTGTGATGCCAGACACCCTTGGAAGCCCGAGAGAGCAGAAAAGGTCTGCAGCTTACCATAGGAAGCAGGGATCTGCTTTTTGGTGTCTTGGCCACCCCAACGTTGTAGAGGTGCAGCTGCTCTCCAACCAGCAGCTTCCCTACCCCACCCCAGTCTAGAAGAAGTCCTTGGGATCATTTAGTCTTGGGTAGATGAGAAGGTAGAAGCCAAGCTGCAGAAATGGAAATGGAATGGAGCTGATGTATCTACTTCAGTGTTTACTGGAGGAGTCAGTGCTGCTCCGGGAGCCTTTCATGTTCTGTGTTCAGGAGAGAGAAGGGCAGGGAATTAGGATTTGTTGCTGATGGTACTTCGCAAAGCCATGCCACAGAGACTTCTTCCCTGCCCTCCACCCAAGAGAAGGGTCATCATAAAACAGGTAAAAAAGCCCAGGTAAGTCCCAGACACGACAGAAGATAACCCAGGTCACAAAAAAAAGAAAGGCCTAGACACGGCCAGGAGCTTAGCACTGGGCTGGTTTCCTGCCAGAAGGTGGTGGGAAAGAAGGTGGTGGGAAAGAAGGTGGTGGGACAGGCATGTGGCTCAGGACCCCAAAGTCCAGCGAGTCAGACAGAGCTCCTTAGAGAGGGCAGAGGACCACATTGAGACTCTCAGCTGCTCTCTGTGCCACACAGGGACCACCACCCCCCGCCCCCAAACTAGCCACAGCCAGGCAGAGGACAGGCTGGAGGCCTCTGAAGTAGGACAGGCTCTTCTTCTGACTCAGCTAACAGAGCCTCAAGCTCAGCTCCCAGGGTCCAGAATTGAAGAACACAGATGATGAGTGGGATGGCTGGACATGGTGGGGAGGCAAGAACGTGCCTGGGTCCTGATCTAAGTGGCTTTAGCAGGCGACCCAACCCCTAAGGGTACTGGCTAGTATCAAAACTCCCTTAAAAACTTTCTCAAATCAGTTGGGGGTTTATGATTGCTGTCACTGCCCAGCAGGGATCTCTCTTGGAACTCCCTAATCTACCCCTCAAAAAAAAGAAACATGATATTAAAAGTATTCTCTCTGATCCTGAGTGTCTTCTCCAAGACTATTTTACTTACAAAGGACAAGATCCTAAAGAAAGCAGAACCCAGGCAAATAGGCACAAAAGGGGCTGCTCTCACCCCCACAGAACTGAGAACCCCAGCTAGAAACATCTCTAGAGAGGAGACTCTCAGAGTGGGACTGCCCTGGAGACACCACCCACATCTGGGTGGGATCAGGACCCTATGTGTCCGGAGCCATCTGTGAGAGGGCAGGTCTCCTGGCAGTGCCCTGCCTCCAACATCTAGAGTTCCAACCAAGTATAGGGTTGGAGAGTGAGCTGGCACTTCCCTCTGATGCCACCTCCAAGCGTGGACATCGCAGGCCCACAGCCTCCACACCACCTACATATCACTGGCAATGCAACAGTAACACTGAATGGCCACATGGAGGGTTATGCTCACATCGTTCACTCACAGGACGCCTAGCACAGGCCACATGGAGGGTTATGCTCACATCGTTCACTCACAGGACGCCTAGCACAGGCCACATGGAGGGTTATGCTCACATCGTTCACTCACAGGACGCCTAGCACAGGCCACATGGAGGGTTATGCTCACATCGTTCACTCACAGGACGCCTAGCACAGGCCACATGGAGGGTTATGCTCACATCGTTCACTCACAGGATGCCTAGCACAGGACACATGGAGGCAAAGAAGACAGATGGCAAAGGACCTCACGACAATGGCACTGCTCGTCCAGCACTGACACATGGGCCACACACTCCACAATGGCCACTCTGCACATAGACCAAGATGCCCTACAGCTGAGGTGCCATGACTTGGAGAGATGCAGGAGGGGACAGAGGAACATGCACTGGGTCATTACCTTGTCAAAATTAGTAAGGAGAAAACTTTGAGAAAATGTGACAGACAGTTCGTCTTTCAAGCATAGTGAGGAAAAGGGAAAAAAAAAACAGGTTGGAAAAGAAAAAAAATGTTTTAGTAGTATTTTCTTTCTAATATGCATTTGTAATTTTAAAATGTAGGATGCGTTACGAATGCCGGGTGGTCTTTCAATCCCGAGCAGTTAGCACAGCCCCCCCGCCCCAAGGAAGATGCAGAGTGCAGCATCTGGGACGTTATCCCATTTTTTACCAGAAAACCAAAATCACAAGCATCAGACCCCATGAGCTTCCCTCCTTCCAGGCCTGATGCTCATGGGAAGAAATTTCACTAGAATGGGGCAAAGGGGAAAATCAAAATGCAGATTCAAGCCCAGGGAGACCAGGAAGTATCCACCAAGACCCAGGACATGAAGTCCCCTGTGGTGATAACAATAGCTATCATATATAGAGATGTCCAGAGCTCTAGACAATGGCCAGTGGTAGAACGGAGATGGCCCCATGCCTGGCTTAGTCTGACTTTCATAACTGATTTGTTGTGGTCACAGGGCTCAGGCTGATTTCCTAGACTCAGACATTATCATTATCTATAATCCAAGACATTGATCACACTCTCTGTCTGGGACTCCAGAGTAGAAACTGACCAGAGTCAGGGGTGATGAGTCTATAGGAGATATTTTTGCTGAAATTGGGTAGATTCTAGCCCAGAGTACTATTAGATTCACTTGGAAACAGACAAGTTCAGTTTTAGAAAGGGTAAGAGGATGAACTTGAACAGCCTCCTCCCAACAGAAAGATTTCTTTCTATAGGAATAGGATATGTATAAATGCAAAAGCACAGACCTCCAACCCCAAAGGGTGGCTTTCATGCAAGGAGAACTCGTGGTCCTCAAGTAGTCCACGTGCTGGAATGGTGGCTTCAAAAGGACAGCAGTCATGAGACTGAGAGGATGTGTTACACTTTGAAGACGGACAGTAACAGACAGGCCCCCCACTAGCCATGGGAAGCAGCAAGTAAGAGGAAGTGGGAACTAAACCAGAGACTAACAGTTGCTGGCCATGTCCCTGAGGCAGAAAGGATCAGGGACCTGGAACAGAGGTGGGAAAACAGTACCTGGGCTGCTCCCAGAGGCTGGCAGAGAGAAAGAAACCAGCCCTCCAAAGAGCAAGACCTAATTGAGTCCTGGCTGTGCTGTCTACCAGCTGGTGGCTATGCACAGGTCACTTGACTTCAGATTGTAAACAGGACAAGAACTGTCCTGCCCACCTTTTAGGGTTATTGAAGGACCAGAGATGCAAGGGTTGGGCCATCTCATTCTCTATGAGACATACAATCCTAGGAAGTACATCTGACTCTATGTGTGTTGCCACCACAATCCAGGTGCAATGCCAAGCCACTCATTTTCCAAAAAAATGAGCCCCACTTTACAGTTCAGTCAGCTTCAACTCATTAAGGTTACCTGATGTGCACAAAGAAAAGAATGGGACAGGTGTGACAGGTGGGGTGGGGTAGCATTATATGGTGCCTGCTCTATAAAGATCTAGGCCCCTTCTGCACCTGAGGACCACCAAAGTAGTGGACACACTGCCTTATCTACCTGGTAGCAACCAGAGGCAATGCTGAGCCATAATTTTCTGCAGACAGCTCTGGCCAAAGGTGGGGGTAACGCAATGTATCTGATGTCCAGGGTACACCTAGTCCTGACCATGGCTTATGGTTGAGTGGAGTCCAGTCCAGGACAACCAGATCTCAAACACAGATTCCACACAGACCTCTCCAGAGTGTGAGGAGCATCTTGGAGGAAAGAGGTACAGATTAGGAGCTGGGTAATTTTCAGAATAAATCAAAAGATGTTCTGTGGGGAGGAGAAGGGACATAAAAAGTAATGGTATCAGACTCAGACCCAACTTGCCACCAAAATCTGACCTGAAGAGGGAAATTTTAGATAGGTACCAAGTCCAAGCTGTGACCACTGCAGACACAACCCTGAACCCTCAGAAGGACTGCAGAGCAGCAGGCTGTGGACATAGTAGCACTGGGACACACTGAACATCAGTTAGGCTGTGATTCCTCTTCCATCCCACTCTGAACAGCTCCTGAATTCTCTTCTCCTTCCTCCCATGCCTATCTCTTCCTTCTCCTTGGAAGACCTCAGACTCCACAAAAACTGTTTATCCTCAATATTTTAACAGGCAGGAAGCCACACTGGCAAGCAAGCAAGAACAGTGTAAGGCCCAGAATTATTCAGAGAGAAATACTTACAGACAGGCTTTCCCTAGCAAAGGCTGCAAGGAGATAAAGTGGAGAGAGAAAGAGAAGTCAGTCAGGAGGCTTTATCTAGGGGGATGAGCCCAGCACACCTTCCGCACCTGGCCAAACAGCTCCTAGACCTCCCTGAGAATTTGGCAGTCTTGAAGGATTGTCCTGCCAAAGTTGGTGGCAGCACTGATGTGGGGAGACAGGTCATGTCTTACACAAGCATGTCCTACATCACCCACCTCTGGCCAGGCTAGTTCCGTAAGGTATTTGCAGCACAGGACCTCACAATACACCCGGATAGAATGGCCTAGAGATACTATTTCAGTTCTGCTGTTTTCATTTAAAAACCCTCGTTAGAGAGATGGAAGGAATATTTCATTAGGTCTCTCAACTAAGGAGGTGAGTAACCAGGTCATTAAAATTCTAAACTCACTCAGGAGCTATAGACAAGAGGATCATGAATTCAAGGCCAGCCTCAGCTACATAGCAAGACTTATGCTATAACCAAAGCCAGACAGGACTCCCAGTTAATCTTTGTTGTCTCACTGGATACAGCCCTTATTATGTGCCAGAAAACCAGCGTGAATCATATCATCTGACTCTACAGTATTGCCCCCCCACTCCATGGATCAAAAAACTGAGGCCTGGGGAGATTAAATGGCCTATGGAGGCCTCAGTGCTCTCCCCACATCACATTCCAGGCACCCAGAGGTTTAAGGAAGCTCTGGAGAAGGCATGAAGAATTGACAGATTGCAGATAAAGCTCCCAGAGGTGCCCTGGCATTCATTTCATGAGCAAATCCAATTTAAAATTTAGCCTATATTGATTTGCAAGAGGCCAGGCATGAGGGTGTCGGTGGGGGAGACTCTTGCCACCTAAATTGAAACCAGACATATTTGCAAAGGTCCATAGCTGTCTTTGAGGAAATAATTGCTTTCCTGAAAGCAAATCTTAATGCCCATCAGCCAAAATCTCCCTGCCTTTTATCTTCCAACCTAGTAAAGTAGGTGAAATCGGGTTGGGTTGGGTTTTGACTTGGTTTTTACTACCTGCTGAAATAACTGTATGTTAGGTAAGGAAGTGGTTCCTTCCTGGTTGTGCAGCCTGAGAGCTGGGCTACTGGTTCTAAGGAGGCTGTGCTAGCTGCAAGTAGATATGGCCTCCAGAACAACGGGATGCTGGTGAGATACTCAACTGTGGGGTAGGCCAGAAAGTTCAGCCCATGGACAGATACCCCAGGGACTAGCACTAGACAAAGACTCCTGGCCTGGGAATTGCTACAGACTTTGCTTTGGAAATGAATATCTATTCACAAATGGGAACTGGTCTCAGATACCTTACTATTGCTTCTGCTCTACCCAGTTCTGCCCAGTAAAGATCACAACCTCAAGAAATGACACACAGGCAGTCATAGTCATAGACAGCAAGGAAAGCTATTCAGAGGGGGCTTCTTATGCTCTCTCCTGACACCTGTGCACATACACATACCCACCCACATTCACACAACACCTACAACACACACGGTGTGCACAGAACACCCATCCACACCAACCCACACCCACACAGTCACCCCCACACACACACGGGCTCGAACGTTTCCAGCAAACGTGAACACACTCGGTCACAGGCCTGGGGTCATGGCCCCCCATGCATGTGGTCCCCCAAGGCATGAAGAAGAGGGGAGTCACTGACTTGTCCAGGCAGCTGCGTGGGCACCTCCGGGGGCAGGCAGCTGGGCAGGGCAGCAGAAGTAGAAGCCACACGCTCCTCAAAGCTGTTGATGCGAGGCTTTTTGGTGGGCTCGGGGCTGGCTAGTGGGGTGACACTATTGCGTCTCATGAGCGGGTTAGGTCCCTTCTTTGCATCCTAAGCAAGACAAAGACAAAAGAATGAAGGCGACAGTTATAAGGAGTGGGGAGGGAGGGCGATAAGCTACAAAAAAGGTCCCCTGCTCCTGGATTTTAGGGACACAATCAAATGAACGGAGGTTGAGTGGCCAAGACCCTGAGTTGTTGTTTGTACTACGACTTCCAGTTGGTGATTGGGTGATATCTTCCCCTTCCCCAAATTACTCCAATGGGCACCCACACAGACAAACAGAAAATGTGCAAGGCAGACAGGGAAAAAATTATAGTCATGACAGAGAAGGAGGTCAGAGAAAAGAACCTTGCTCTCAGTCCCCCACTCCTAGGGCCCAGGAGGGAGTCCAGGAGCAAGATTTGGGTCTGAGCTCACAAATGGGGGAAGAAAGAATGCTAGTTCTGACTCTCTCCTATCAGGAACCACTGTGCACATGCGCACCCATGGAACAATCTGTGCTCACACAAACAATACCCTCCTGAGTACGGACACGGAGGCTGCAAGACAGCCAGGAGTCCAAAGACACAGAGAATCAGCAGCAGACAGTCTGCCAACCTGGATCAGACACCAGCCTTCCTAGCAGAGGATGCTGTGACAGTAGTGTGGGTTCCTGGGGTTCTCCACAGAGTATGGTTCAGAGTCTCAGAGCCAAGGTCTGTCTGTCTATGCCATGGATCTGCCCCAGTGTTTCAAAAGAGACCACTGGAGCCCAGGCCAGGCCCAAGCCCAGTGCTGAAGCAGCAGGTTAGAGCCAGGCCAGGGCTGTTCACATAAAGCTATAGTGAGCACATCATCAGGACACCATCATTCAGCAGAGGAGGGGGGAAGAGGCAGGGTGAGGCAGCCACAGTCCACCGTGGAAGCTGGGCAGTAAAGTGGCTGACATTTCATGTGCTCTTTTTGTTACTGTTGATTTGTTTTTTCGGTTTGTTCGTTTAGTTTGGGTTTTTTTTTGGCGGTACTCTGGTTTGAACTCAGGGCCTCAGGATTGCTAAGCAGGCACTCTACCACTTGAGCCACTCCATCAGCCATTGGTTTCGGTTTTTTTGCTTTTTTCTGAGACTGGTGTCCCTATGTAGCCCAGGTTAGCCTCAAACTCGAGATCCTCTTGCCTCAGTCTCTTGAGTGCTGGGATTACAGGTATGCACCACGATGCCTGGCCTCATGTTCTCCTAATGCCCAATCTGATGGCAAGGCCTTGGGAACAGGGAAGTCACGTGTTTTGCAGACTCCACAGACAGAAAGTCATGCTCAGCGTAAGAGGAAGATCTGTCTAAACTGGCAAAGCATTGCATTTTGACAGCCTGCATGAAGCAAATTTAAACCCACTTTCACAATGCACACCTAGACAGAGATGCAATCTGTTCCACAAGGAATTCAATGTGACTGACTCCCCTCCCCACAAGTCTCAGACCTCTCCAAGGTGTAAGACAATAGTGCTGAGTCTTGGCTGGTCAGACACCCCACGTCTCCCATCCTCCAGCCCCACTTCCTTTCTCAATGCTGAACTTTTTTCTTTTTTGGTGGTGCTGGGGTTTGAACTCCAGGCCTTCACCTTGAGCTACTCCACTAGCCCAATTTTTTTGTGATAAGGTTTTTCAAGATAGGGTCTCATGAACTATTTGCCCAGGCTGGCTTCGAATTTTGATCCTCTTGATCTCTGCCTCCTGAGTAGCTAGGATCACAGGCATGAGCCACTGGCACCCAGCTTCTTTGCTTTTTAATGCTACTACAAGCTCTCATGTGTTCTTCATAGCATCCTGATCAGTGGGTTTTTGTTTTTTGTTTTTTTCTTTTTTAATTGCCACTACTGGTGTTTGTACTCAGGGCCTACACCTTGAGCCACTCTATCAGCCCTTTTTTTGTGATGGGTTTTTTCAAGATAGGGGCTTACAAACTATTTGCCCATGCTGGCCTTGAACAACAATCCTCCTGATCTCTACCTCTGAGTTGCTAGAATTATAGGCGTAAGCAACTGGTGCCTGGCCAATGCTTACCTCTTGCTAATTCTGAACCTAAGCACTGGCAGATAATTACACTGACTGGCTGATCCTGTTGGAACCAGGTCTCTGAACTTTCATGAAAGCACAGCTTTGTGTGCCTGAAGATACAACAGCTACTGGGCTAGACTTTTATGTTTAGAAAAGGAAGCTGTATCTTTCTCTTTAAGACTCACTTCCCCGGTCAAGTAGAAATAAGGAAGAGAGCATGCAAAGAAAGGAAAAGGATAAACAGGTCACATGAAGTCATAGGAAGCAAGGACAGGAACATAGAGCTGCAGACAAAGTAGTCAGTGAGAACCCACCGCAAGGCAACCAGGCTCAGAGCTTCTCAGGGTCCCATTACATCTCAGAGTGAAGGGGCATGGAGGGGCTAACTCACCTCTGATCGCTCCCTGTGTGTGCTCACAGACTCCACATTCAGGTAAATGGATTCCACACGGCAGCCTGGGGATGATGGAGGTGGGGAGGATAGCTTCTGTTAAAGGAATCACATGGCCACCAAAAGGCAGTCTCCCAGAGGCATGGGTTGGCAGGCAGTGCTACTCACCATAAGCGACAGGTGTCAGTTTCAGGACGGTGTGAAGGGGACACTTCAGGTAGGGCATTTCCTCTGAGGAAAGAGACACAGTCCAACAATTAGAAAGGAGACTTGAGGCAGGGAGAGATAGAGGGACAACCCTAGACGAAGCATGAGAGCTTCTGCCACGCACGGACCCCAGAAGCCAAGACCAGGTAGGGGTATTATCCCATCCTGCGGTGGCCCTAGAAAGAGACTCCTATCCAAAATGACTTAATCCAAACAAACCAAAGAACCCAATCTTGCCAGGCATACCTATAATCCCAGCACTTGAGAGGCTGAGGGAGGAGCTCGGATAGGGAGATCCTGTCTAAAACTCACTCTCATTCAATGAGTTAAGAGTTTTGTTTTTTTTAAGTAGTTTTCCAAACAAGCTAGGTCTGTCTTGGGTTCAGCTGAACCTTGGACAAACATTAGTTTTCTGGGCTGTTAGTTCCTTGGAAGTGAGACCATTAGCTGCGTGGAGGCCAAGGCTGGCTCACGAAGCAATGATGTCCATGTAGCACTGGACTGCTCAACAGCATTTCCTATGAAACAGTGAGGGGGCACAGGGGAGAGGAACCTGCCACAGGCTGTGAGCTGGACCCTGCTCCACTTTTTCTAACATTCAGACATGCAGCAGAGTGAGCAAATGATGGGTCCTTGGCACTCGCACTCAAGGGCCGGTGTCATCCTCCCTCCTTTCTGAGGCCGCAGCCTGCCCATGCTACCTGCACTCTTATCCAAGAAGTAGGCTAGCAGGCAGCGCAGGACAGCCTGGTGACAGATGACCAGCACATTCTCCTGGCGCTCCAACTCCATGATCACAGGCTCCAGGCGCTGAACCAGGTCCTGGTAGGACTGAGCACAGAGGGACAGGACACTGTTAGAGCAGAGAACACTCAGGAAAGAGCCCTGCCTTCCCATCATCATAGACCAGACAGCTCACAGTCCATCCACCCACCAATCCATTCCCGAGTGTTCAAATCTGCATATGGCAGAATAATCCTAAGGGAACATAAACCTGCTGTCTTCTCTGTCTGAGCTCTTTGCTTTTCCTACTCCTCTCCAGTGGAGGATGAGAAGAAGCAAGCTCTACAATGAAATATTACGTAGTCATAAAAAAGGAATGTAAGTCCTAACCCAAGCTATGACATGGAAGAACCTTGAAAAACTTCAGGTAGAGCAAAGAAGTCAAGTGCCAAGGTCCCTATATATGATTCTGTTTCTATGAAATGTCAGAATAGGTAACTCCACCAACACAGAAAGGAGACTCCTGGTTGCCAAGAGTAGGGATGGAGGGAGGGGAAGCTGGGCTGACTGCTAACAAATCTGAGGAAGATTCTGGAGTTAGTGGTGATGGGAGCCTGACACTGTGAATAGAGCACCCTTCTGTATTTGTGAGTTGATGACAAACTGGGGAAAAATTCCATTTGTCCTGAACATGAACCGACCTTTTCTTTCTAACCAGTACAGTGTAACAACCATTTACACAGCATTTTCATTGTAGTAGGTGTTGTTACATTAGTATAAAGTATGCAGGTTACATGCAAATAACACCACATGTTTTGGTATCTACAGGGGTACTGGAGCGAATTCCCTGAGGATACCAACTATTGACTTGAGCCTGGCATGCTGGTGCATGCTTGTAATCCCAGCACTCAGATAATTAAGGCAGAAACATTGTAAGTTGGAGGCCAGCCTGGACTACATAGTGAGAACCTGTCTCGAAAAAAAAAAAAAAAGACTTGGGAATGGGGGTTCAGTGGTTAGGACACTTGCCAAGTATGCATGAGACTCTGGGTTTGATCTGTGGCACCAGGAAAAACAAAGAAAAAAAAAGCACTGACTCATGTATTTTTAAAAGGGTAGTAAAATCTTATGCTCCAGGAACTTTATATCAATTTTTTAAAAGCTAAAAAGAGGTGTAGGGTTGTGATCTAAAAAAAAAAACCCAGCAAAGGTCCTCTTCACACTGGGCCCTCCTCCACACTCCTCCCGACTCCTCATAAGCAGGGTCCCCATGGGCCAGGACCAACGTGGAAGAAGTAGACAGCATGCTGGCCTGTCAGGGACTGAGATGTGACCAGTGCAGGAAGGACGCCCACTAGGTGTCAACACACAGTCCTGGCCACCCTCCCAGAGCACGGCTGCATTGCACATCCATTCAACTCTGAGCAGCCACTTCACTGAGCGACATGTGCCCTTGACTCCACCAGCATCAACTCAGAGCCCAACACAAGAGACCCTGGACAGCCACCTGCAGCCTAGGAAAACGCCCTCGCCTGTAATGAATCACCATCCTCGCCTCTACATATGTCAGCAGAGAGATGTGTGCACGCTTCTCGCTTCTGCTTATGGGAAAATACAGCTGCACCTCTCTTAGGGCTATTTACAAGGTTCCATTTAGGAATTCTCAAGTCCAAGGTGGCAGCATTAGGAATGAGCTTGCAGAACTGATCCAGGAAGGTCCCTGGGTCACCCAGCTAGCTGGTAATGGGGTTCACTTGGGGGCCTCACAGCCCTCTCTCAGTCAACCCTACAAACAGCACACATCACTACACCCTTGACCAGTACCTGTCAAATGAGCGAAGGCATGGAGACAAGTCACAGAGTGGGAGGGGACCCCCAAGCTCACCTCACCAGTGGGGTAGCGGTAGTAGTATTTGTCCTGCTCACGCAGCGCGTACTCCTCAGGGTAGGTGTCCCTGATCTCCTCATAGGTCAGCTCCTCACACACGCCCTGGAGGAAACAGCAGCATTCACTCCAGGGGACACACCCCCAGGGCCACCCAGAATGCATGGGGCAATTCCAGCAGATTGGCAGGACAGCTCCCTGCTCCCAGCAGTCCTCCCAGCACTCACAGCATCGATCTCATTGAGCGCCTTCCACTGTTCATAGGGGAGCCTCAGCGCCTCCGCTGTCTGGATGGTGCTCTTCAGCTGGCTGGTCCACACACGGAGGTCCTTCAGGTTCTGCTCCTCCACAAACTTGCTCAGGGCGTTGGCAAACTGAGAGAGTGGGGAGAAGAGAGAGCAGGCTGACTCCAGGCTCCTGCTCCAACCAAAGGCAGGGCTGGATCCATATTCCCCCACATAAGGCTGTGGCCAGACAGTGTCAGCCACACGCCTGCCTCAGAGCCCAGGAGACCTGGCTGTCCTCCCCTTCCCAATCTACACTTGGTAGCACGCTCATGCACGCGCGCACACAGATGCAAAGCACTGCAAACAGGTGACTACAGAAAATGCACCCTCTTCTCCCTCGGGACCTAAAACTTCCCTACACATGGGAGCCAGCCTCCTTCCTGCCACAGGTCACCCCCCAGCCTCTGTCCCCTTCTCTCCTCTACCTTCTTGCCTCTGCTGGACAGGCCCGAGTCACCCCCAATCTTGCCCTGGAGGTTGAACTCGTTCTCCCCATGCCGACACAGATAGATGGTGCGGGGCTGCACGTGGATATTCATCAAGTAGTACACAATACGGCTCTGGATGTGGTCCTGGACTCTGTTCACTAAAAACCTCCGGCCAACATCGATCACTTTGATCAGTGACAAATCCCTGCAGAGAAATGCCACTGAGGACCACCAGGCAGGCCTCCCCTGACAGCACAGCCAGCCCTGAGCCTCTAGCTTCCAGAAGGCTTGCTCCCTAGGAGAGCTGCCATGTTGGACCATGCACTCCCCCAGGGCACAAACCCTCTCTAGGAGTCAGAGTAAAATAAAAGTGAGGCACAACTCCCACAGCAGGGTCTGGTTGAGGCCAGCTGGCCTCCCACATGAGGGGGAGGACAGAAGAAAGAGAACGGAAAAGAAAAAGAAGGAGCTCTCAGAGGGCAGAAACAATGTGTGCTCAACTGTACATTTATATCCTACACTCTTATAGAGAGGCATAAATACTTGTATTGAATACAGATTTGAAATTGGGGATTTTTTGTTGTTGTTGTTATATAGCCCCAGCTAGCCTGGAACTCTTCTCCTCCTGCCTCAACCTCCCAAGTTCTGAGACTACAGGTATGCACCACCACGCCCAGCACTCAGCATTTTTTTGTGTGATAAAATAGGTGCACTACCATTTGCACCACACCCCAGCCCTTTGGTTTGTATTTTTGTTTTTGAAATAGGGCCTCTCTAAGTTTGCCCAGGCTGGTCTGGAACTCTTTTTCCTCCTGCCTTAGCCTCCCACATACTGAAATAACAGGTGTGTACCATGCCTGGCTTCAAGGATTTTTTTTTCTTTTGTTTTTTGGCAGTACTGAGGTTTGAACTCAGAGCTTCATGCTTGCTAGGGAGGTGCTCCACCAGTAGAGCCATTCCACCAGCCTTAAGGAATTTTTTTAGACATTTTTAAAGAGTATCTATAGAACAATCTATGGGCAAATGCTTCGTGGGACACAAAGAATAAATAAAAATCCCTAATGTAGGCAATTCATAGATGGTCTCCTCCTAGAATTACCTGTCACATTTATCAGGGTCAAGGGGCTGGTAGCTGGCTTCATAGCAATTGATCCTCTTCATGAAGTCGTCCATGGCTTCTGCCGAGTTGCAATCTTTGTAATCAGGACTAGAGATTTTAACTTCCTGTAACACCACAAAGAGGCAGCTGATGAATCACGTTGGAAGGCTTTCTGCCTAGATTAAGCAGGATTTGGGGCTTTCAAAAGGGGAAAGCCCAGAAAGGCTCAGAATAAAGATTATCCTACCCAGCATTTAAGAGAAAAAAGAAAGAAACTGGGGGTTGACTCATAGCCTCATGATTACATGGAGAGTACATCCAGGAGAGAAAGAGAATTGCTGGCTGGAAAGACAGACACAGGAAACCTTCAAGGATCCCATAATAAAAACCTCTAACCCATCCTCCAGGTCAGGATCAGTCCAGTATTTAAGTTGCAACTAGACAGCCTGGTCCTTCATTCAACTAAATCCCACATAAGCATCTGCAGCGCTCCTTACACCAAGAGCAGGCTGTTGATCAAAAAAAGTGCATTACTAGCTGCTAGGGAGGCATCTGACCTTGGGTGGGCTCCATCTGTCCAGACAGAGGCATCACCCACTTGTGGCTGGTCTCTGATTATGGCTTCTCTAACTAGACTCTGTACCCACACCCTTTCAAGGGTTGCCCTTCTGGGTCAAGGCATCTCCTCTTAACTAGAGAGTAGGTCAGAGGAACCAGGGAGATTTTAAGGAAACTCAGTATTTTTTTTTAATGCTTGAGGATCTAAGTCAATGGGGAGCTCACATTTCCTGGGTGCACAGCTTCCAGTGGGGAGATGGATGGTGGTGCTGGTTGCACAACAATGTGATACACTCCAAAAGGGTTAAAGGGGTCCATTGTATGCTCTGTGTACTTTATGTGAATTTCACAATTCCTGTGCATAACCTGCAAAGTTGCTTTGAAGTTTAAACAGAGAAAGAGATTTCTGAACTGTGTTCATGGACAACCAGCTAAAAGAAAAATTCCTAGCTAAGCACACTGGTGAGTGCTCACTGGGGAAAAACGACTTCCCAGCTGTACTTGCTCCACTACCAAGTGGAACAAGGAAAGCCAAACCAAAGAAACACAGCGAAGCCCTTTGTTTAGCTTACTGCAAGTTGTTTCCTTGTACTTTGAGCCTCTTCCTTTGGAGCCACTGGAAGTCATTTGAACTGATTTTCCTCAATTCAAATAGTCCTTCCTGAAATATGAACTCATTCCTTAGAAAAGCTTATAAACATTTCCACTGCCCTGAAGAAGAGGACTAAAATATGAGAAGCTAATCCCTTTAAAGATGAGAATTTGAAGGTAGCAGAAGTACAGCATTCCCTGCCCCTAAGAACTGCTTTTCTTTATGTCTTATTCTGATACATTTATCTGGAAAGAAATGATCTATAACATAAGAAGGTAACTTGGGATAGTCTTCATAGTAAGCATTTCTGTTTATGATGTAAAAAATCAAATTGCACTGACAACTACCCTGGATTTACCCAGGCAAGCTCCTCTTGGCACAGTGAAATCAAGGTGGAGAGTATACTGTAGGTTCGTTAGCTCCATTAGCAGGAAGGCAGCTCTAACCATGCCTTCCCAAGCTTGGGAGCTCTGCCTTCAGCATTCCAGGCCTCCAGGCTTTTGTTTACACACACCATTCTTACCTATTAGGAACCTTGACAGCAGAAAAACAAACCCACAGCCTTCTGTCAGTTTTCCTTTATTCACAGCAGCCCCATCACCACTCAGCTGCCAAGCTCCTGCCACCTGTGGAAACTTCTCCCAACCTCCCCCTTGATCTCCTGTGTCCCAGCTGTGCACCACTAACTGTGCTCAAAGACCCTGGACAGAGCCTGGGTATAACATCAAAGCATGTCCAGACCATAGACCTTGCTTCTAAGTTAATATCCCTGTGCATTTCTCACTTCCTGTATCTACCTCTCAGACACAACCAACAACAAATGGGAAGAGGAAATTGATCCTGAGAGTTCAGTTACTATTTACAGCCTGACTGGGACTCCTACTTCTGTAGGATTTCAGTAGGGCTTCCTGATTGTCTTACCATGATATTGGAAGCTACAACTGTAGGGTCGTCACACACAGACTCGATGAAAAACGCCTGGTAGAAGCAAGACAGAAATGTTAGAAAACAGTATCACAAAGGGTCAACTGTCACAGTCACTGTGATGTCATCATGTCATGCAAGAAGGAAGGACACCATTCGTCCATTCCTAAAGACATAAAAGAGCCATCTTTGTACCATCGTGTCCTTCGCCCTCCCTCATGGAGGGATAACTCTGAGTTATCACTCACTGAGTGTCTTGCCATCTTCAGGTCCTATGTTTAGGGAGAACTCAGGCAGTAGGAGGCAAAGGATCAAGCAGGAGTCAGGGAATCAGCTGGTCCCTGAGGTGTTTTCCTCTCTTCAGATATTGATGGAACAAGAAATTTGGCTTACCTTGAAGTCATTTTCTTTGGCAAAATGAAGGATCATATGTCTTCTCTCTCTAGTAGTATTGGTGGCATCAAAAACCTGACAGAGGGAAAGGTCGGGAAGAATCTAAGTGTAATGATCAATATTTACTAAAACCACTAAGTCATTTCCAGGAATAAGCCCCAAAATTGCTCTTCCAGGAGAGACTGTGCCCTGCCTGGCTCCTCCCCCATCACCTACAGCTCTCAGGGACAGAAGGGGAGGGACTGGAATAGCTAACAAGCCAGCAGTAATAATTCAGTGGGAGGGGGAACAAGGAAGGGCCATAGGCAACTGTGGCTGGCAGCAACGCAGGTCCTGTCTGTCTTCAAGATGATGCCCAGCTCTCCATTGAGGAGTGGGTGACACCATGGCTGTGCCCCCACATCCATTCCAAGACCACCTTCTCAAGTTGCTGGCTACTATGGCCACCTGCTTCCCTCAATCCCCAGGACCAGGGGTACTTGTCCCTGTCTGTGCCATCCCTACAGTGGCTCTTGGCTACTGGGGGTGAGAGTGGGGTATGACTGCAGATGAGCTGACTGCATTCCCCAGACTTACTGCAATTTGTCCCCCTTCCTTTGTCAGGTAACTTTTGACATCTCTCAGGGCAGCTAAGGCACACTGCCTGCAACACACAAGAAGAGAAGCCACAAGTCAGAGTGGACCCATCGCTGGGGAAGCCCGAGAAGCCCCCCACTCTCTTGACACAGAAACTGGCAATTGTAGTTCTAAGCTGCTCCATGCTTCTAGTCTGAGGCCACATGCACATGGTTTCAGGTCCCCTTAGGACAGGTGCTCAGGCCCTGAGCTGTACACTGGAATCATCCCCCTGAGAGCTTTTTTAAAAAACTGGGGTGACAGCCCAGCCACAGATCCTCATGTGGACCAGGCCTGGGGCAGAGCCTGGCATTCGGATCTTTGTGAGCTCATTGCTGATTCTAATGCACAGCCAGGGCTGAACACCTCACATCAGGGTTTCACCATCTCCTCCTGCCTAACAAGAGACCCATTTTCAAATGCAAACAGATGATTTCTGATGAAGGACTTTGTTCACTCCTGGGATGTGCCTGCTGTTGACCTGTTTCACATCAGCTCAGTTAGACCATCCAGGAGCAGATCAAAGTAGTGAGTCTCAGAGAGGCCAAGACACTTGGAGTAACACTGGCCACCAGCGGAGAGCCACACCAGTCTGGCTTTCTTTACCTCTTACAGAATCTGGTTTAACTTAAAAACAAAGGAAACCAAAATCCAGCATCTGCAAGGCAGCTCGTGTCTTACTTTCTGACTCTCATGGCTTCTTCATTGTCAGGGCGGAAGAAGTTGTAGGAGCTGTATTGCTTCACAGCCTCCCGGCGATACTCCCCCACATTGAACACTATATGGAAAAGACAAGAACAGCTCTGATGAGCCAGGAGGAAGGGGAGAACTCCCAACTGAAAAAAAAGCCAGCCAACACCAATCTGAATAAGATGAATCAATACAGAAAGCAGTGTGAGTTCCCTCCTGGTCTAGGTCTATCATCACCTTCCTATAGGCAGTGGGCTAGGAAGCAGCCACAGTGCTCACCACCATCTGCTTTACCTGAGGCTGTCTCATACGGTCCAGCCACAATCCCAGTCTCACATCAAGGACCACAGACTAAGACTGTGAGAACAGACAGATAGCCACAGATGTAGCAAAAAATCAGGGACAATGATTTCTGCCTATGGTATCTAAAAGTGAGTGGGTCTCACACCACCACCAGGCCTAGTCAACCATTCCCCTGCTGGCATAACAGACAATGCTATGGAAAAATACATTTAATAGGTACTGGAGAGGCTGGAGGTGTAGCTTAGGGATAGAGGAGTACTTGCTTAGCATGTAAGGTCCTGGGTTCATCCCCAACACTCCCCAAAAAAGTTATTGGCATTGTCTGGTCACAGTGGAGAGAGCAAATATAAAAACTAGTCCCCATCCTCAGAACATTTCCCATTTAGTTGGAAAGACCAAGCAGAGATGCAGAAACATGTCATCAATAGTACGATAACACAGAGAGCACTTAACGACAATCAGACAAGGAATCTGAATTTCAAGGAAAAAGGTCCACAAAGAATGAGGTGACCACAGAAAGCTTCATGAAGGAGGTGAAACCTGAGTCAGGCAGGATTTAGGGCAGTAGGAAAGAAGAAAATGGACAATGAGACCAAACCCAATAGAAAAGGGTGGGGCCAGAATGGAAGGCACAATCAGACCCTACAACCTAGGGACAGACCTGTCCCAAATTGGCCCTACCCATAAGTGCTAGCATCAGGAGGTAGAAGGTCAAGTTTTTGCAGTTTGGGAGGACTAGCAAGCAGAATCATAGCACTGACTGTAATGTCCTTACCCTTGGGAACTGGCTCACCTTTCGTTGGGACGCCAATCCAGTTGAGGTAGCGAGTCAACTTCTTAGAGATGTAAGTCTTACCCCGGGCAGGAAGGCCCACCATGACAATCACTGTGGGGGAGTTGGTCAGCTTTGGCCCACAGGCTGGAAAGAGCAATCAAGAAAGGAGCGATCACTAAAATGGCAAAAAGTGTTGAACAGAGTTCTATGCCCAGTAACAAAAACTTTCAAGAATGACATCAAAATTTTTACATCATTCCCTATCCCTAAGCCCCTGGCATGTGATAATCCAATGGGAACAGACCCCCGAGTGGCCACAGAGCCCTTCACCTTGAAGCTCAACCTCATTTTCCAGGTTATACTTGGCAAAGACAGTGTCAACCCCAAATACACAATCTGATACAGGGGGCCCTGGTCCCAGTCGGGGACCCTAATTACTAACACAACAGTGAAAGAGCATTCTTCTTGAGTGTAAAGAAGGGACCCAAATACCAGGAAAGGTGAAGTTAACAGGACAGAGAGCTTGTTTCCAAATGCAGAAGGTAAACTGAAGAGGCAGGTAGGAGAGGGAGATGAGGTGAGTGCCAGAGAGTCAAGGGACAAAAGAGAAGCCAACCAACTTTCTAACCTTCACACAAGAGAGTTGAGCAGTCTTTCATAAATAAATAATAAAATAATAAAATAAGAGGTTATCCAATGAAAGTAGGTCAGAGACCCAGAATGCTGAGCCCCTCTTGGGGGGGACAAGTAAATAGCCCCAGTCCTTATACCTCTTATGCCCTTTTTGCTGCCTGATTCTGGTGGATGCCAGGATCTGCTTATGGATGGCTTGTCACTAAGCCTCAGGCAGGGGCCAGCTGTATCAGAGATGCTCTTGTCTGTGAGTTCCCTCCTGGCTTCCACTGCTGAATGAGTGACCCATATTCCTGGCAATCTCAAGACAAAGCACCAGGGGCAGAGGTTTTCGGAAAGCAGACAAAAGAAGCCCATTCTAGAAACTGAAGGCCCAGTATTTCTTTGGCTGCTGTCTTGCCCCTGAGACTCTCAGGCGACTCCTGCATCCTAGTGACAAACAAGCTGGCAAGCCTGAGCCGCTTGCCAATTCCAGCCCAGCTGTCCTCATCAATTCCCGGACACAGGCCACACAGCCTGCAGGGAAAGCTATGAGAACCACACCACCAACCTAGATGTCAGATGTAGAAAGAGGCTCAGACTCGAAGGAAGCCTAAGCTGTAGGGCACCTGGGTCGGGTGTAGGGATTGCCCCCTACCCTGGGGGCATGCACCAAATTAGATGAAGCCTCTGTAAGCCTAAACTGGACATCCACACGGTCCCAAACTGAGGTCAATGTCCAAACACACAGGGGTCATTCTAGGACCTGCTTTCCAGCCCTGCAGGCTGGGGTTGGGTGGAGCGTGCATGACATGAAGAGGCTTTGTTTCCTCCTCAATATTCAGAACCCGGATGCAGAAGAAATGAGGCTATCTGGACATCAGGAGATGTTCAGGAGCCACAGAAAGCCCACACTGCATTGCCAATGGCTGTGTTCCCTTAGCACTCAGAAGCCCTGGGACACAGATTCCTCGGCTGCCCTGGAGAACACCAAGTATCTGAGTCATGCAAACCAGCACCAAGGGGGCTTATGTTCCCCAGAGACAAGCAGATGGTGGCCTTCCTGAAAACCAGTGGATGTTAGGACATACCCGAGGCATCCAGGGTTCTTCTGGCAGTTGCAGGTGACACATCAGAAAACTGGCAGCAACCCCCGACATTGTCTCACTTGTACCTGAAGCAATGCCCATCCACTGGCACGTCCCCCAGGTCCAAGGTCTCCCCTCCCTTCCTCATCAGATGGCCCTATAGAGCCACTACTCCTAAGAGCATCCAGACATCCTCAAAGACATACGCTGCACAGCTTCTGTTGGACCCATGGCAAGAGGAGGCAGCAGCTGACTGATTTATCAAATCAGGGACTGTGACTATGCACTAATCACAGGAGCAAATCTCCTCTGGCAGTAGACATTTTGGGAGGGAGAAAATAAACAAAACCATAGACAGGGTAGAGCCAATTCCATAAGGCAAAAGTTCAGGGTCAATTTCAAACTCAATTAAACCATTGCTCCCTTAGCTGGCAAACCAGAGGCCAAAGTTTGGATGAGAGAAACTTCTTAAGAGGAGATGGTAGTTTCCCTCCACCCAGGCACCCCGTGAATCTGGGGATGCGGGGGTACACAAATGCTTCTGACTAAATCTCTGACTTTTATTCTCTTTTGTCCCCTTCATCACCATTTTTTGTTTTGTTTTATTTGTTTGAAACATGGTCTCACTGTACCATAGGCTGGACTCAAACTCTGGGTCCTCATGAGTGTTAGGATTACAGGCATGCACCACCACGCTGGGCCCCGCCGTGGCCTCCGTGGATCTTCTGTCCTTAACTGAATCCTCACAGACAAGGGCAAAATCAAGCTGTGCAAAGAGACCTGTTTTGACCCTATAGAAAAATTGCCACCTAAAATACATCTCTCTGGAAAACAGACTTTTAACCCACTTGGCTCTCAGGAAACCAGAATATAGTAAACAGCAAAGACAGCAAGGCAGGCCACACGGTTGTCTATAGACACAAACCTGTCTCCTGCTATCATGCCCTCCAAGTCTGCTGGGGTGATATGAAGTAAGTGGGATGGAGGATGTGGGGGGCAGGGAGAAGACAGTCAACAGACACCTCTTTCAAAAGCGCAATTAGATGCATTACTTAGCATGCACGTTTAACTAATGTCAACCCAATCTCCCTCCTTGTGAATGGCCTGGCCTTCACAGGCCCTATGATCTCAGCAGGCAACACTGTAGGATGGAGTGTTTTAGTGACTCATTGACACCCTTGACAGGCAATACAATAGCACAGTGTGAAGTGTGCAGGGCCTGGAGTCCAATAAACAGAGTTCAAAGCCTGGCCACCACCTCCTTGGGCATTGGACCAGTTCATCTCTCTGTCTTTGTCTCTTCCATACTAGAAAGATGCTTTCCCAGACACTGCTGTGAGGATGCACCGTGGCATAAGTCCCCAGAAATGCTTACTGTAGTGCGTTCAGCTGCTTTAGCCATCACATTACGATCATTCTGGATGGACAAGAGACTAAGTAAGGCTGTCAAATGCAGAGAGGGTTCACAGCACAGCTCCCAAGGGACAGACAGGGGCACCGCTTAGGTCTCTCTTCCACAGAATCTTTGCTTAAATAGGTGGTTCTCTACCACTGGCTGAACCTAAGGAGCTTTTAAAAAATAAGTCCATTGTGACCTGAATTAGGATTCCAGATTAGATTTACTTTTTTCCAAAATCTCACCCAAATTATTCTACTGTGCAGTCCAGGCTGAGATTCTCTGTTATGAACTGTAGAGGCCACTCAAGGACAAGGTAGGGATTTTTCTGGACCACCCACCTATCTTCCCTTAATTAGAATACACATGTGGGAATGAGACCTCATGAGAGGCAGATCTTTCTATCAGTATTTGAGTACCCCAACATGGTACTCGAATGCATGCAACCCTCTGCATGTAAACTCTAAATCCTGAGCAAAGACAAGACAGTCGTCTTACTCCCCTGTATTTGGGAGACAAAAAAAGAAAAGTTTGGTACTTTAAAATGCTATTTTTGTACCTACTTTTTAAAACAACCCTACACTGCCCGGTGTTAATGCTTTCTTTGTTGCACTGAGGAGGGCAACTTTTTTTCTTCTTTTTTTAATTAGCGTATAGTAATTGTATCAACTACCTGGGTGTGGGTGGTACATGCCTGTAATCCCAGAACTAGAGAGGCTAAGACAGGAGGATCATGAATTTGAGACCAATCTGGGCTATATAGAGAGACCCTGCTTCAAAAACACAAATGTACAACTGCCAGGTTTCCCCGTGACATTTCTGTACATGCACATAATGCACTTTGACTATATTCAGTCCCATGACAACTTTTTACCTAGTGTCTTTCAAGTCCCAGGCCTTGTCTCAGGACCCATCACACTGGCAGGGGCCAGGGATTCCCTCAGAGTCCTATTAAGAATGGGTGGTTCGAAGCCAGCCCAGGCAAATAGTTTGCAAAACCTTATCTTGAAAAAACCCTTTACAAAAAAGGGCTGGTGGAGTGGCTAATGGTGTAGGCCTAGAGTTCAAAGCCCAGTACAGCCAAAAAAAAAAAAAAAAAAAAGCAAAAACAAGCCAAAAGCTTACTTCTTTGTCAGCTAATCTGACTCAAAAATTCAGTAAGTCTCCCAGAGTTAGTCTGAACTGACAGAAGTGTTTACCATGATGCCTGGAGAAGCAATTATCCTGCTCCAGAGGCAGAAGCATTCATCTCTGACTTAGGTTCTCTGGTCAGGAACCTTCTTCCCACCCTCCTCAGGAGATCTGCTGCTCACCCTTGACCAGCAGACCACATATAAAGTGGTAATGGACTTATGAGAAAGAAACATGTCATTAGAAAAGAAAAGCCCTCTGTTCTCCATTCCAGTAAGAGATAAGTTAGACTATATAAACTGGGAAAGACACCACTTGAATCAAGGATGTATACTACATACCCAGGCTGTGGATATTTTTATAAGAAGGAATGTGTCTGAGAGACTACACCCCAGAGCCACACAGGAGGATTCCAGCCGCGGGCGGGCTGAGTGAGTGTCTTAGTCCACAGGCTTTAGTCGCACACACCTCTCCTTAAGCTCTCAATGGTTCTGACAATGATTCCTTGCAAACCTCTCATCTGCGTGAGAGACGTGCAAGCCCGTGGAATCTAATGGACCTGTTTCTGAAGCCTGGAGGAAGAACACACTGCTGCATGTTGGTGGCCCTCAAAAATCACTCTCCAAACTGGGTGACCTTGCAGATTCAAGATGTTCTTCTGAGACCCAAATATGGGAACCATGGAAGGGAACGTGTGTACACAAATACAGGCAATCATGTATTTACATGCATATATAAATCCAAAGCATTTTGTGTGGCCAATTGCAGCTTAAAGTGCCCTACTGATAATATTTGTTTGTCATCAATAGAGGGTGCAGTCTTCTGGCCTCCCTGAAGTTTTGTGTTTTGCTTTTTTTTTTTTCACAAGGGCGGCTCAAAATGTAGCCCAGACTGGCCTTGAACTCATAATGTTCCCGCCTCAGGGTGCTGGGATTACAGGTGTCTGTACCACCCCCAGGCTGTTCTTTGGGTGTAGAAAGGCAACCAGACCATTTAGCAAACCATCCCAAAGGGCTTGGGGCGGGGGAGGTGGGGGGGCCCTGTCAAGCTCCCAGACGCTGGCTACGTTGCCAAGAAGGGAGAAAAAGAAGTCTCCTGCAGGCTTCCCCAAAACCCTCAGGTCCAGCACAGGAGACCTGCTGGTGCACCGCCCTGCACCCACCACAGGGAGGCCCCGGGCAGGTCTGGACAGGGAAGCCAGTGACTCAGACCCGGCAAATCTCCAGGCAAGCTGTCACGTAGCGTGGTGGCCATCCTGAGAAACGTGGCAGTGGAGAAGCTCAGCCAGCAGCCTGGCGCTCAGGTGCCCCACCCACCTATGACCGGAAGCCACCTCCAGGGTTTGCACCTGGAGCCCACGGTAACCTGTCAGGCTATAGACCCTGACTTGAGTTAGATGCCCACTACACATCTCGCCCCTGTCCACTCGACGGGCATCCTCCGAGTGCGTTACCTGGAAGGGCGGCATCGCCCTGGAACCAGTCCAACCGTGCTTTCTAGAGGTGACTCTAAGCAACTAGGGATGGAACCCAAAGGAACCCTCCCCAAATCGTTTACCCAGAGCAACAGGCGGGGTAGGGAGGCGAACTGTCAGTAAATTCCAGACTCTGGGGAGTGTGTGCGCTTGTGAAACTCCACCAACCGTGCAATCACCAACCCACGGTCCTTCCCCAAACTGAAGAGCCAAGGCTTGGTTCTTGGCCAAGGACCTGCAGTCGCTGGACTGTGTGCAGAAGATGGAGCTATAGAGAGAGGGAGAAGCACGATGGCCTGCGGGAATCGGGAGCGGAGAGAGAGAGAGAGAGCAAAGGTGGGGGTAGAAGAGAGAAGACAGAAAAGTAGAGGGGAGAAAATATACAGTGAAGAGAGGAGACAGACACATAGCAAGGGGGAGAGAGAAGAGATGCAAATACAGAAAGGTACAGCGAGGAAGGAAAGCAGACAGCAAGTCGGCGGAGAGAGGCGGAGGCGCACACGGCCTCGCCCCTGCCGCAGTCGGCTGCGGGTGCCTCCGGCGCGGCGCACGGGCCAGGCTCCCCAGCCTCTCGGAGGCGCACGCTTTCCGCAGCCTCTGCGATAGCAGCGGAGGCCGGGTGCACTCGCCGTTTCCGGGGCTACAGCGCCCCTGCCGCCCGGGTCGGAAGGTGCAGCCCGCCGCCACCCTGGCCCCGCCGGGCCGGCCGGCACGAGCGCGCTTCCCGCAGACCGGCACGGTCACAAAGCGGCGGCACACAATGGCCGAGCTCTGCACGCGGCTCAGCCTGGCCCCCACGCAGCTGCACTCACATCTGGGCAACGAGGGCCGATGATCGACGGGCACCCAGATTTTCTGCACCCGACTCTGGGTTAGCTCCAAGGGCATCTTCGCTGCTGTACTCGGCGACCCGCCACCCCGGGAAGGAGATTCCGACTTGGGGAGAAGACTTCGTTCGCAGACTTGCAGCAGACCCCGGCAACAAAGGAGAGGAAGGGTGCGTGCGGCCGGGCGCTCCCTGCGCTGCTTTGGGAAACGTGCTTTGTGCGAAGTCCCGGACGCTCGCGGGTACGGGGACTAGGCGAGCGCCGCGATGGGCGCGTGGCTAGGGCTGCGTGCACGGCCCGCTCGTCCGCTTCGGGAAGCCCAGGGATGCTCAGGCGCAGTGACAGCAGTGTGCCCGCCGCCCAGCACTTCCAACTTGCCTCCTCTTCAGCTCTACCGAAATGCCACACGCACGGCCCGGCCTTTTAAGATCGATCGCGCCCGCCGCGGGGCGCGTCAGCCCCGGGGCGGGCGCATTCTTTGCGTCCCAGCCTCCTTTCACGTGGGGAGGAGGAGGAGGCGGGGGAGCAAGAGACTGCCTGCTAGCGCCCCCTGCGGGCTGACGACGGCAGCACGCCCTGCTCAGGCAACCCAGTCCCTGCCCCAGCCCTTGCTGGTTCTTTATCCCTGTCATCCCTTCCTCCGGTTGCCCCCTAAAAAACCCCGGCACAGTTCCCCACCCCGAGTAATTTCGGACCCTCACCTGAACTGTGGGAGGAGGGGAGCCGTGCAGTGCGATCCGACGACCCCCTCCTCCAGTCCTCCGAGATGCTGGTTAAAAGGCATCTTTCTAGCAGTGGGGTCTCGGTACTCTGCATTCCAGTGACGCGCTCCGGGGCAGGCACAGTCTAGGTGAAGACCCAAGTCGGGCCAGAGTTGCTTCCTGGTAATTTCTGTAGGTCTTCATCCACCACGACCCCTGCCACCCTCGAGGAAGAGGCTTCCCTGGTACTTCCACCTCCAGCCACTTCTGAAATCTTTCGAAACCTAGCCTTCTGCAGAACTTCACTCCCCCTCGCCTAGCCCCAAGACCGGAACCTTGAGAGGTCTGCGGTGCTGGGCACGAGGAGGGGGCGGGAAAGCCCGGGAGACTGGATTGAAATGGAATTTTGGAGGGGAGGGGAGCAGTTGACATCATGATTTTCACATATACCTTGTGCAATATTCAACAAACCTCTTATCTCTCCAAGTAGTGAATAAAACTAGACCCTCATTTCCATCTGTAATTGATTGCCTAATTATAAGCCCCTGAATAACTATTGGGGGATGGCGGCACATTGATTACCCAAACTCCTAAAATCGAGGTCATTTTATACACCCTACAACTTTCCTTGCCACTTTCTTGGGGATATGCACGCCCCTTCTCCTTTCTCCTCACAGTTTGCATTGGCTTGCGACACATGGCCGTGCAGTGAAGATGTAGGGCAACCTTGGCGGGGACCATCACCCGCGCGGCAGACATGAACGTGACTTTAGCAAGTGATGCTTTACTCTGCACAGAAGAGCTGCGGGCGGCCCGGCCTCGCGGAGAGATGCACACGTCGCGCTGAGGCCGGGCTGTGATTGGAAGCAAGAAGGCGGCGCCCACTGCGGAGGCCAGGTCTGCGCAGTAGCGGCCACACGTCGCTCACGTCCTGCATGCTTCGCTTGGGAGGGCGCCGGCTCCCTGGCGGCGGGCACAGCTGCTCCCGCCGGGCTCGCTTGCCCCGCCCGAGCCTCCGCCCTCTCCTGCAGCCCGCCCTTCCAGGGGTCCAGCAGCCTAGAGTCGCCCACCTGGCCAGTGTCCCCCGGAGCCTCCCCGCTCTGACCCCCCATTCCCGCACCCCGCCCTCCCCAGAGCCCCCGCTCCCCTAGACAGCTTTGCTGACTGTTTGGTTTCTGCGCTTGGGCAGTTGTTCAGAAACCCGAAGCATTGCATTCGGACTTGTTTTTCTGCAGAGGGAGCAAATGCCTGAGGTGACACCCTAGAATGCCCAAGGGACAGCCCACTCCACTCCCGAAATAAGAGTAAGCTGACCTGAAGAGGAAAACAGCGAGGGCCATCGGGAAGTTCCCGCACTGGGTTCGCGGGGGTTGTGAGCAGAGTGGCGGGTGGCGGGCGGAGAAAGCCGCTACGCCCCTCCAAGGAGACCCCCGCCTAGGTTCCCCAGCAAGGACAGTGCACCTGCGCACCCGTTACATCATGTCCACTAGAGTTGCTTTGTTTTGCTTTTTGAAACAGTTTTGCTAGGTAGCCCAGGCTGGGCTCAACTCCAGATCCTTCTGCCTCCACCTCCCCAGTCCTGAACCTATAGAGGTGTACTCCCAGGCCCGGCTGTTCACTAGAGATTTTGCACACACCTATAAACCAGGCAAGTGGACCAAACGGCAGGCTTTCGCCCTCCAAGCTTGCCAACGTTGTTGGTCTCAGCTTAGGGGGAGCAGGGTGGGGATGGCACCTTTAATCTCTCGACCTAGATAATGCATCTGAACAGTATCAGCTCTTGGGCTGAGGCAGTTGCTGTCTTCAGCTGAGCACTGGAAGACAGGCACTTCTCTACCCCTGTGTTAATAACTCAGTGGCTTGCAGAACAAAGACTAAGTTCTTCCCCACTTACCTAGGGCATCAGATAAGCAGCAGGCAAAAGGAAGTCAATTCAATCCCTTTGCCCTTCAAATGTCTAAGTGCAAAGTGGGAGTGTGTAGGGGTCAAGAACACATCCATGCTTGTTGTGTCTTTTTAATGGCCAGCTAGATGGTCCTTGCAGCCCCAGGTAAATAGAGTCCTCTTGGGAGGTAAAACTGCTTCAATATTAAATTGCAAAACAACCCAACTGCAACTATATTCCAAGAATTCTCTGGTTCCTTTTGCTGGTTTAGACATCCTCCTAACTCTTTCCCTAGTTCTGCTAATGTCCCCTTCTTCACCTCAAATGTCTCATTCCTAGGGCTTCACCAACTCCCAAGTCCCCAAACCGGATATTATGAACTCTCAGAAAAGGCTGCCAAGGCAACACGTGGTACTCTTACAGGCAGAACCACTCCAAGTTCCAGGGCTGATTGACAGTGATTTCTCTTAGATTGCAAGTCATGATCCTAGATCCTATTAAAGCCAGAAGGAAACAGCAAAACCACCTAGTCAACCCCCTTGCTTTATGTGAAGGAGCAAGGGAGGTTTGGAGATTAGAGAGGTCAGTAATCAGATCAAAGATCGGGAAGAAAGACAGTTAGGAAACAGGGTTTGTTTTTGATTTGATTTGATTTGATTGGGGTGGAAGGAGGGTGTTGTGCTCTCCTCAATGAGGAAGGCAGATATCTGTCCCCTCCTGGGGGAACTCGTTACAGATTCACCCTAATCCAGGGTGCTGAGTGGAACCCCAAAAGAAAGAGAAAGATCTGACTGTGATTTACAAGATCTCACCCAGAACAATGAAGCTGTTGGGAAGGAAAGAGCAGAGAAAGACCTTCAGGGTATAGATGAGACATTGACAGGGCAGTTACTTAAAACTTAAGCCTACCAAGCACCTCATGAGGTGCTTCCCAGGTCCAGCCTTAGAGAAAGGGCATGAAAGTGGTTTTTCTCCATGACCTTTGACCCCACTTTCCTCTGCTGGCCAATGTCACCTAATCCTCACCAGTGCTCAAGATGCAGCTGTAATGACAGCAATAAACAACCCCATTTCCACACTCCTGTGCCATCTACTCAGATGTAAACTTAAACCATGCTGGAGCCTGCTTCCTCCTCAGGGAGAGAGTAAAAGAGGCAGCAAGCTGTGGCAGGCTGTGAGCAATCAGAAGTCACTAATTAGACACAAAGTGTCATTATTTGCTCCTTCAAAACACCCCACTGGGTGTGGTGCAAACTGGGTTCACACGTGTAATCCCAGCACGAGGGAGGCTGAGCCACAAGGATCATAAATTCAAGGCCAGTTGGGCTACAGAGTTGAGACCCTGTCTGAAAAATCATAGTGGAAATGGAATAAGGGAAGGGGAAAAAGGGAAGGAAAGGGAAGGAAAACCCCATGTATAAGAGAGTGAAGCCAGGCATGGTGGCGCATGTCTGTAATAAGCATTCGTGAGTTCCATGCCAGCCTGTGCTACACATAGTGAGACCTTATCTCACAAAAGCAAAAAACAAAACAAAACAAAATGCACCAAATAAACACCACCACCACACAAAACAAAACAAAATGCACCAAATAAACACCACCACCACACTCTTCTATCACCATGTATCCAAAGTCAGAAGTAGTTGCTTTAATATCTGTTATCTATATGTATAAATCTTATACGTATGGAATAGAGACTTGAGACTATTGGCACAATGTCACACAGAAGGTTCCAAAGATCAACACATAACATGTTCTGGGATGTTTATGTCAAAACATGGAAGCAGCCAGGCGTTGGTGGCTCATGCCTGAAATCCTAGCTACTCAGGAGGCAGAGATCGGGAGGATATCGGTTTGAAGCCAGATCAGGCAAGTAGTTCCTAAGATCCTATCTCAGAAAAACCCATCACAAAATGGCCTGGTGGAGTGGCTCAAGGCATAGGTCCTGAGTTCAAACTCCAGTACCACAAAAAAAAAAAAAAAAGAAATACATACAAATCATGGAAGTAACCAAGATGTCCTTTGGTAGTGGTGAACTGACAAACTATGCTACATGATATTCCAGACAATGGAATATTATGACGCAGTGATTAAAAAAAAAAAAAAGCCACACACCCCTCAAAAAAAGAACCACAGAAGAACCTTAAATACATATCATTAAGTGAAAGAAGCTAACCTAAAAAGCCAAAAGGTTAGCAGCTGACTGTACAATTGCAGTTACTGTATAATTGCAGTTACTGGTGTGGGACAGGGTGGAAATACAGAGGGGCAGGGGCATCAGAATCAATTTTTCTATGTGCCTAAAAGTGCTGTAAAAGAATCCATTATTTTGCATGTCATTACCTATTTCTCTGATCAAGTGGACTTAAATGTCTTTTTAGTATGTGAAGAGAGTCTTCTGTGGCTACAGCCTGGCTCTGGTGAAATCAACTCAAATTGTGCAACTTAAGTGGGTCCTCCCAACCCCTCCAGCAAGTCTCCATTTCCCTCTGACTGGTTCATGTTACTCCACCTTTCGTGGGCCTTCCTTGCCATCTTTAGGACACTCCTGAGCAAAGGACCTTGCTCCTAAACCTGCCTGCTGTTGCTGTGTCCAGCATCACACCTTCCTACTGCTTTGAGAGGGGTTTAAAGTCCTCCTCATCCAATTTCCAGACCCAAATGATTAATAAAGTGTTATATTAAGACTTTGAAGGGCTGGGATGTAGCTCGGTGTGCCTGGGTTCGATCCCAGCACCAAAAAAAAAAAAAGACAAAAAAAAAAAAGACTTTGAAATAGTGATATGTTTCCAAAATAAGATATACGATACTCTAGTTAATACCATCGTCCATAGTCAGTTTTCTGCTTTCCATATTTCACAACATTTACATAAAATGTCACCACTGGAGGAAGCTGAGCAAAAAGGTTTGTGGTACTCCATGTACTATTTTGCAAGATCTTGTGAGTCCGTAGTTATTTCAAAACAAAAGCTCTTTTTTTTTTTTTTTTGTGGTACGAGGGTTTGAACTCAGAGCCTACACCTTGAGCCACTCCTCTAGCCCTTTTTGGTGATGGGTTTTTTCGAGATAGG